AAATTATAATGTCCAGGTCGAAAAAAAACAAAGGAATTTTGGACTAATCGTAACTGTTGTCCATAACGAAGAACGAAGAACCGTTATAAAGTAAGCAAANAACCGGCGTCCTCCCGAATGCTAAGCAATGGTCTAAACCTCTAGGTCATGCCGCTCGGTCCAAAACTAACAAAACAACCCACATCCTTAACTACTTGCGAACAGCAATCTAATCTAGATCTACCTCTACAATAACAACAAGCCAATGCTTAACTGTCCCCGTATTGTAACAAATTTGGCGAAACATTAAACCTAGCCTTCGCATTTGAAGATTGGCAGAACTTTTGACCAATATTCACAAGCATGTGGTTGATTTCCCACTACAGGTTTACGTTAACCTACAAATGTACTTGAGTGGGACAGATATCAATTTGAAACATAATCTATTTGATGAAAATATCATCAGAAACTGCGCCATTAGTTCGAAGTGAGAATCTTAGCAAGAGCATCAATGTCATCAAAAAAATAAGAATTTCAAACCTTTTTTCAACGAAAGTAGAGACCACAGAAATTTTTTGTCCATAATTTTGAAAATTGTAATTGTTGTACTATTTTATAGGAATAACTATACAAATAATAAAAACATTACACATGAATACATCTTTTATCAAGCAGCTATCAAAGACTAGCCCATTTATAATATATTGCGTAAGTACGTATAATAAAAACAATGATGCGTTTTCTTGGAATATTGTTGATAAACGCATTATCGGCAGTTTGAAGGAATGATATGAAACGCAAAAATGCTGCAAAGCCGGCAAAACCTTTGGACTGTTTTTTTTTATAATTAAATTACTTGACATTAATAATGCCATTAATGGTTAACAGAAACAATTAAGCCTGTAGAACGATTGATATATAATTAGGTCACGACGTTTTTTCATTTGCAAGCTAAATACGTGTGGTGTAATGTCGTATAACGATAAATAGTCACTTGTATGAAATAGATAATAGTATTGCATTAAGTTCACACCCCCCAGGCAAATTGTTCGTATTTGGTAACGATTTCATTTCAATCGCATGTATTTATGTTTTAACTATTAGTGTTTACGAATTAATTAAATTAATTAGAACAATTACAAGCCTAATGTTTATAACTGTGGTTAACATTCAATAAATATTTTGTGATGCTCGCTTAAAATATCTAGAAGCTATATTAATGTGAAAATTCATTTAATTTTTATCCACTACAAATTACCTCCAATTAATGAGGCACGCTCTTATCGGAAAAAAGAACCTGGTACATTTGTCTGTGACCTGTTAAGTGAGTTTCGTTGTTGTTGCTGCTGGCGTCTCTCGTAAATTAGTGATCAAACATCAAAAAAAAACTTTTGGTGTTTCATTCCCACCAGATAGTACTACTGGTGGGCGGGCAGTCCCTCTGGACTACGTCGGGAGGTAGGGCGGAAGGCCTTCTTCAGCCTCCTTTCAGGAATCGTGGGAATGGGTGGGTGGTGGTTCGGGTGAGAAAGTTGAGACAGACGAAATGAAGACAGAAAAGAATGAAAGATAATCTGTGTATTATTACTGCCCCAGCATTTGCCTAAGCGATCCAAGGAAACCACAGAAAAACTTGGATCAAGGCAGACGGACCCGGAATCGAACCGGCGTCCTCCCGAATGCTAAGCAATGGTCTAGACCTCTAGGCCATGCCGCTCGGTNCGAGTACAAGTGGCTGAGAAATAGAATCAGTGTCTAATCCTCGTTAATCAATTCAGAACGATTTTTAAATATTTTTTTTTGATAAAATAAATTATATTTTCGTATGGAAGCCGCAGCTTCATATCCAAAGAGCCGCAGGTTGCCGACCCCTGCTCTAGACCATGCCGCCCGGTTAAAGCATTGGTACATAAAGCCAAAGGTCCCGGGTATGATTTCCGGCGAGGGTGTCTCATAGCAGCAGCAATTTTTCCCCATTAATTTGAGGTACTTTCTAGTGCATAAAACAAGTGAGTTTTCACATTAATATTAAATATTAACTATGATTGTAACTTTATTAAGGAATTCTATATCCGATCGCAGGAAGTTTCGACAGAACACAGACCAACTGTACTTGCTGCCTCGTACCACAAACGGCAAGATGAACGCCATCTGTGGTTCAGTGCAGATATAGTGAAAATCAGTATATTCAATTTATGTTGATGGATATCTACTTGCTGTATGATCGAGCAGCATGGCCTAGAGGTTTAGACCACTGCTTAGTATTCAGGAGGACGCCGGTTCGATTCCGGGTCCGTCTGCCTTGATCGAAGTTTTTCTGTGGTTTCCTTGGATCGCTTAGGCAAATGCTGGGGCAGTAATATTCCACAGATTATCTTTCATTCTTTTCTGTCTTCATTTCGTCCGTCTCAACTTTCTCACCCGAACCACCACCCACCCATTTCCACGATTCCTGAATGCAGGTTTAAGAGGGCCTTCCGCCCTACCTTCCGGCATAGTCCGGAGGAACTTCCCGCCCACCAGCATTACTGGCTGGTGGGAATGAAACACCCAAAAGTTTAAAGTTTTTACTTGCTGTACTGCGTAGCTCAACACGCCGTTTGTGGTACTTCATCATGGAGGCGACTTTCCATCATGGTACTTATCTAGGTTTTTATATTTGTCTGAGGCAGCTAAAGAATCGCTCTACAGTACTCCTTATGCGCGGTTTAAAGACTAAAGAAGGGTTTCGTATCTTTTAACACATGAACATTGGAGAGCTCAGTTCTATTATGTTTATCTTGCCCCAACTGTTTCCAGTTCCTGCCCTTGACACCCTCGGTGACGCCCATGATTACTATCGTCACCAAAAACGTAAAATTTTATAAATTATTGATCGATTGGGATTTAACTCGATGTCTACCACTTTTTACTATCAAAAATTAAACGCAATTTGATTAAAAATACAATATGCTAAAAATATGAGACATAATGCTATCCAATGATAGAAGATTGCCTTGAAGATTATTTTTTTGTCTCTTAAGTATAAAAAATTGATTAAGCAATTGGTATTGTTCTTACTGTGTTATTCATTAATGTAAGGTGCTCATATTCTGAAAGATGTAATCTTATGTGAGGTTGAACTTATTTATTATCCGATTCATTTAATACCGTATTGGATATTTTATGCTTAACGAAACACTGCAGTGTTCGTTCTTTTTGATTTTAACCGTAAACGGTTTCAATATTGTATCAAGTACAGTTAGATAATATATTTACTCTTGAAGTTTTTTTATTTAATTTCATATCTATTTTACAAGTATAGCGCCTAGTAATATAAGAAAACCAAGCAAATTCCATTATGTTTTACTTTTAATTTAGTTGCAAGAAATGGTTTATACGACCGAGTGAAACTAAATTAATATTGGAAAAAACCGACACTTCTAACCCATTATTTCCTTAACAAAAACGGCAGTACAACAGAATACTTCCTAGAATGTTTTATATTTAAATATTTCATTATGAATACCTTGTACAGAAAATATTGTTTTTAATGTAAAGCCTTGATTTTAAGGGATTGCAAAAAAGTAATTTCAATTCGACTTGAATATTAGGTAGCTATCATTCGTTTGTCTGTCCATTATTATTATTTTCGGCAAAATTGAAAGGCTCTTTAATCAGAACATAGTTATCTATTATTAGGCGTATACACGTGCGTTGTACGTGGAAGCGTAGGTACTTTTCATTTTGTAATATGCCTTTCAAAGTTCAGATGTAAATAAAGGCGCCTATTTAAAATTATAATGTCCAGGTCGAAAAAAAACAAAGGAATTTTGGACTAATCGTAACTGTTGTCCATAACGAAGAACGAAGAACCGTTATAAAGTAAGCAAATGAATTTCAAATTTTTGTTTTAAAAAATAACATCGTTTAATGTTTCAGTATTAAAAAATTTTCATAAACTATATCCTATAAAAAGATTGTTAAAGGTGTATGTTTGGAGCGCGGCGCTGTACGAGTGCGAAACATTGACGGTGGGCTCGACGGAAAACAAAAGGTTAGAAGCGTTCGAAATGTGGTGTCACAGACGAATAATGAGGATACAGTGGATAGAGAAGGTTAGAAATGAAGAGGTATTAGAAGGAATAGTAGAACAGAGGACTCTATGGAAGTCAATAAGAAATAGACGAGATAAGTTGGTAGTACACCTCTTAAAATATGAAGGGCTAGTCAGAGACATAATAGAGGCAGAAATAAGAGTTAAAAGATGTAGAGGTAGACCGAAGATTAGATTATTGTTCGCAAATGGTTAAGAGTGTGAGATGTTCTATTTAGTTTTAAGGAAATGAGAAGATTAGCTCAGGATATAAAAGAATGGAGGTGGGTGTTCAAATCCGTCTTAGGACTGACGACCTTATGATGATGATATCTTATACATGGATTTAGTAATAGAAGGCTTTTAATTAGGTGATGCTTGAGTCTTTTGTTGTAACTTTTAAATGAAAGTACTAGAACAAAAGTTCTGGAAGAATAAATATTCAGTTAGCATCATACAGGTACCACCTGTTTCTCTAAAAACTGTCTTGAATTAACTAAACTGTCAAAATCTTTTGCCTAAGATCTCAAGGATCTTAAATTGCATTTATTGGACAAATAAGTATTATCTACTTTATTTTGAGTATGAAAACTTGACTCAAAATGTTTCTGAAAGACCACAATATGTAAATTTCCCGCGCAGAGATACAGTTCATTTCAAGTAGTTAGAGATGTGACCTTGAAGAAATCTGCGCGAAGAAAGAAATAATACACACTAGGTGTGAGCAAGACAGAAAGAGTTGGAACAAGAAAACAATATAATCGCCATCTTACAAAAGTAAAATAGCACCATTTTATGAAATGCCTCACTAATAAGTATCCACTGAAATTGTTTTTAATGTTTATCAACTTGATTAACTATAGAATACGCACGTAGCTCATATAATTTTCGAATTTTGTAGTTGCTCGGTGCAGAGTTTGGTTTATTGAAACATTTTCTATCATACCTTGTCTTAATGGTGTCCCAATAGGTGTTTAAGAAATTGAAAAGTGTAGTATAGCCATTAGAACTGCCAGTGAGCATACTGAATATCAAATAGATATCATTGTCGGTGAAGTTTCCATTGTTTTCCATTATGGTTACATTCAAGATCTTTTCCACTTTCCATGGATCTGCTGGGCAACCAGCTAATGTCTTCAAAAGATACGTTCTCTCATTCTGCTTTCTCTCCGCCGGGAAGTTGATGACCCTTTGAAGTCCAAATTCCCATTCTTGTTTTGTTCCCCATTTGAACACAGGACAAATGTATCGATTTTGTACACTGCAAATTAATTGTTAATTCTATATAGTAATCCAAAAAAGAAAAGGAATATGTACGGATTTCCTTCATCTGGACTCTCAGCTTTCATCCACTTATGGAACGCTTCTTGGGCCTCCTTAATGCATGGTTTATAACCAGCTTGGCACAGGAAAACTTTCACGGATTCTCGAAGTTGTGTTGTGCCTTCGCTCTCTCCATCAACTGGTTCATTACCAAGTTCTTCGTAAAGTGGTGTTAACAAAAGACGGACATACGTCTGGGAAATAAATGCCGTTTGTATTACCAGAAATATATCTACTTTTCTAAAAACTTATACCTGAAATTTGGCATGAACTTCTGAACTATCAATATGTCTTCCAATATGATCGATCATGGTAAAGATCGGATACCATGCCAAGTGTTCTCTTTCGTGTTGCAGGAAAAGTGTCATGTTGAGGGCAGTTCCGAAACTCAAGTCTCCGGCATAAGCCAAGTTCCAAGCGTCATGAAGCAACTTTGCTCTCGTGTTCACTGGAATCTTCTTCCTTCCATCATTCGTGAGCAAAAATCTGGCCAACATATTCCAGTTTTTGCAGTCATAGTTGACAGGGAATGGACCAATTTCTTCCGGATTGACTATTATAAACTCGTCACTCTTTGCTACGTTTTCTATTCTAACTTCACGCTCCCTCTTCATCCATTTTACTGGAGTAAATTTGGTAAAGTCTAAATTACTTTGATTAACCATTACGATTGGTATCCACCATAAGAATTTCTCCTGGTCAGGAACATCATGGGGCCGTTCCCGTAGATATACCTTCTGCAATTGTGGAAAAAATCTTGAAGTGGACTGTTCTATTATGTTTAGATAAAGAGAATAAAAAGAAGAAGCAGAAAAAAATTATGACCTGTGTTATATTTGCAGAACCGTCTCCATAATTCCTTTCAACATCTACAACTGGTAGTCGATCTTTAAGTATCCACGAAGCTGCTATATCAGTTGCTGAAATGGTATCGTCTAGGGTTTTGTCGAATCTTGCTTGATCTGTTATTGATGCCCATGTATCGTCTCCGAAGAATGTACTGTATTGTCTGAACAAATAATCAAATTTATGTGAAAATCTACTACAGTAAGAACTTAAGAAGTCATCAAGTACCTCTCAGACATGAATCTCTGCAGACCATGGATAACTGTATGTTCACCTAATGTATAGTTGAGCATTCTGAAAACTAGTTCCGTTTTTGCGGATCCAGAATCTTGTTTGATAGCGGTCGCTTTACCGTGGGGGTACCTTTTACTAAATTCGTAGTAAATTGAGTACAACATAGTCATTGGCCAGTTGTGGAATGTTTCGTTATGGTCTGTAATCTAAAATAATTATATAGTTGATAGCCTGTTTCTAGATTAATGTAGCAATAACCTTTAGAGTAATGTAGGTGGTAACATATCTGGCTAAAGCATTATTGATATGAGCATCGGTCCACCAATAGGGGGAAGCCCAATTTCCTAGCCACTGGTACACCAATTCATGTGTTATTTGCCAGGACCCTTTTGCAGTTAGTTCGTTTTCTCTATATACACAGAAAACAGTATTAAGTTCACTTGATTTTTGGCTCCTGAAGTAGTATTTCTTACTTGAACATGATGAGACCCCAGCTATCGGATGGTCTCGAAGAGTGGTAGTAAGGTAACGCCACGCAATCTAATTTTGGGAGAGGATATGGAAGAGACCAAAACTCCTGTAACGCCCTCAAAGACGTCGCAATCTTTTCTAGGGATTTTTCAATTTCTGGCAGATATTGTATTGTACCCCATACGCCCAGCGAAACATCTAATGGGGAAGGCGTCAAAAATACTTTCGTAAGGTTTGATAACCGTTTCAAATAACGAGACAATGGAGCATGTTTGAAATAGTCATTTATTTACATTTCTTACCTAAATCGTCTGTTTTCGAAATGTTATATATTATCCTCTTCAGTGATCCTACAACAACACCAACGGAGAATGTTGACATTGGTGGAGTTATGCTAAAATGAGTCCACATCCAACCAGGGTCGTCACTAGAATTGAATAATTAGATAGCTGTTTTAAATGTAATGTTATTTCCTACTGTTCGTCCATAGCTAAAGGCGGCATATTTGAAATGGCATTAGTTGATTTATGATGAGCAACGCTTATATTGAATGGAACCTTATAAGCGGGCTCATCGAAACATGGAAACGCCATCCTGGCACGGTTTGGTCTAAAATTGGTTCCGATTATCCAGTTATCCAGTCCATCATTGTCGACGTAACTTATTCGAAACATGCCCTCGCTTCTATTGTCCACGAGTATTCCGGTAAAGAAAATTTCAATAAACCCCCTACTTTTATTTTTCACTGGTTTCTCCAGAGTTATGGTGTAAAAGGATTTGGTTTTTTCCGTGCTGATCACCTTTATCACCTGCGTGATAGCTGGCGTTTCATTGCTGTTATCATCTTCAAAATATTCAACCCTGAAGGAAGTAGAGGGTACTGTGTTAATGTATTAGCGAACAAAAGGTGAAGTAGGGTAAGTATTTCATTAGGAGACTATATCAAACTTTATGAAGGATCACAAACGGCGTTGCGAACGCCATCTGTGGCTCAATTCACATACAGTGGGATTCAATATGTTCAACAAGGTCCATTTACGTTTATGGATATCTAATTCATGGTGGTCAGTGTTGGTTCATATTGTGTTGCCCCTCGCCTTCAGGTAGAGTTGGAATATGTCTTGTTGAAACTGCCTGCGACGCGTTGATGGAACCCAACAAGATCGAAATCTCGATCCGCGTCTGGTAGTTTCGACAGAACATTGACCACCATGAACATCTTTGTTTCTTTGATCAAATTTTATAATGGCTTAAAACAGTTTATAGCAGAACCAAAAATGGGTTTAAGATTGAAGATGTTTCAACACAAAATTGAATCAAAATCTGATTCAAGAATTTCTCCCTCAAGCTAAAATTTTAATATTGCAGTACAACTACAAGCCATGATTTATGCTTGAAAATAATGTTAGGATGAGGTCCTTTTCACCAAACAGACCTTGTTGGTCTCCAATTTAATTACGATTGAAGAAGGGTCAACCTTCATCTGCTGATGGTACCGCTTACCCAACATTCATCCATTTGATGGGCATCCTCATCACAACCATAATGAGTTTCTGAGGATGCCAAACATTGGATAAACGATTCCATCCTTTGACTCACCGAAGAATATCGAACCTTTTTCAAATATTACCGGCCAAAAAAGCCTTTGCCTTTTCATACTTACGATTCGTTTCCATCCCCGTTAATAAGTTTGACTGTGGTACTGTCGTGAAAGACAGTAAGACTCTCGTGAGCATGTAATACAATTTTATTGGTTTCTTCCTGCCATACTAGACCTATAATGACCTGACCACTGAATGTCCCATTGAAAGGGTAAGGGGATAACACTAACTTGTAACTTGTTGGAGCAATATCGTGAGGTAGTCGAGTGTCCGAAATCAAATTATGAGTTTCTATAAGATCGATGCTTCTCTTTGTTACTGCTCTGATCTAATTTTAAGGATAATAAATTCTTTATTACTTAGTTAATTCAAGTGACTTACAAGTGAAGATAACATACCTTAAATACTAAGAGAAATAAGATGAGAACTGTAGAAGTCAATTGCATACTGATGCTGAGCTGTCCCCTATAAATAAAAAAAAAAATGATAAATCTGAACTAAACTCTCGAAGCTTCACTGGGGTAGAGTACCGAAAAATGGGACTATCCTGACCAAACCAGGACGTATGGTCGCGTCATGTTAGAGTGTAGTGGAATGTTTTACCTTTACGTACAGTTAGGTTTTACCTACAGGAAAATATTGATCAAAATGTCCGACTGACATTTAAATGAAAATAAAATTACCCACTTTTGATGTAAATTTATTTTAAGGACTACATTATCACGTCGTTAGGGATTTATCTTAGTGACTAAGCAGCAAAAATGTTATCTCGGCTAATGAATCAGGAAAGTGACAGAAAAATCCTCGTGTATTCTAGTATTATACTGGTGTAAATATTAACCTTTGCGCCTTAATAATTGGTTCGGCTTAATCACAATATTCAAAACTGAACTATTTTTAAACGAGTACGTAATTAATTTCTGCTTTTGTGGTTTTAGAAAGCACGCAAAAAAGGGGCATTATTATGCTTGTCACTTTTCCATCGACTTACCTGCCAATTACTTTGTGCTACATCGCAATAGGCAATTCAAGTCAATTATTGTTATTAATATTTGACTTTTTCTTTGCCGAGGTAATGAAATAATTGTTAAAACTAACAAAACATTAGGCGTCAATTCAAACAGGTGTTTGTTAGCAATGTTAGCAGGTCATAAACTCCTTATCACAACATGCATCATGCTTTATCTCCTTCGTACAGAATTGTCTCAAACTGTGTGCTAACATTTTCTGCAGCGGTAGCATTGAAAATTAGCTTGTTCATTATGCGTCAACACCTTAAATTTACCGAAAGAAAGCGATTTCTTCCAAGCTGGGAAGTATACATATTATGTGTTTTGGTTGTTTCATCCGATCGTGTTTTTGCTGAAGTTGTAGAATCAAATGATCAGGTAACGTCACGTCAAACAAAAGGTTGTAAATGAATCTGAACTTAGTTATTTTCTATTTTTCAGATGTGTGTGAAAAATGCAACGACTGTTCCGATAGCATACCCAGTCTGTTTTGATTCAAATGGCAATATTGTTTTAAAAATTTGCACGCCCAGTGGCTGGGTCTTAACTCAAAACCAATCCCAATGCGAACACTCTGGGCTTTCTCTAATATGCCCACAACCATTTGTGTATAAAGAAAGCAGATGCATACACTTCACAAAACCACAAAAAGCGGATGAACCTTGTCCAATACCAGGAGCTGGATACGTGGAAGACATTGGTTACAACGATTTTATATGGCTGCCCTTCAGAAGAAACAGTAAATTTTTACCATATACAATAACTACCCTCGGATCGCATTATGGCGAAAAGGCAGATTTTAAGTGTTCCTCTAACTGTTGTTCAAAATCCAGAGAACGCGTACACGATTGTTTGATAGCAAATGCAACTTGTATTCAGGATGTTCCTTGTGATTATCAATATCCTCACATGTGTGCCTACAAATACAACCACTTTCTACACAAGTGCCCAAATGGATGTTTGCCGGCTGGATTAGGCAAGAAACATTGTTTCTGCAAAGTGTCAACTGAAAAACAGAACGCAACTAGAAATAATTTTTGCCGTAAGTTAGCAGAACCGACAACGTCATCGGAATTAACTGCTGTTAAAGTGCTGGCATTCACAGACACCTGCTGGATATCAATGAAGAATGCTGAACGTTTCTTCACCAATAAATTTCCTGCTGTTAATGCAACTTCGATAAAGTTACATGACGAGGGCACCTTGTCCTGCGCCGTTTGCCAATCTGAACCAGTTCCTTATTCTACGCCTGAAATGATGTTAACTTTTGACCGGTCAGCAAGGAAACTGTTTTTGAGAGTGTTTTATCCAAAAAGCTTATTCAAAGATGACGATGGTGAATTGGCTTATTGTTTTGTAAACATATCCAAGAATAACGCCGAAAGAACTGACGTAGAAGAAATCTGGGATTCTGAAGACGAATCTGACAGTGAGTTGTCGAGCCCTTTCAAAATATTTGAAGTTTCGATCGAAACGGACACAGAAGCTTTCTATTGGTGCGAAAGTTTTAAATTGCCAAATCTGGAACGAATAACCTCCAACGAAGCAAGGGCTTACAGAAAATCTAAGGGATGTCGCCTTGCAAGTAGGGTGATATTCTACGGTTACTGCTATTACAAGGCGAACTGCCACAAAATGCAAATTCAAGATTTTAATGAAATGGTAGAAGATATATTTGACGAATACGAAGATAGCTCTAATCCAACGTGGGATAGTGTAAGCGTTATGGAAATTTTCGGTGTAAATTCAACTAATCAAACAGCCGATTTATTAATTCACTTCAGTGTAGAAGAATGCTATGCTCTAGAAGAAGTAAAAAATTTATTAGAGTCTGTTGTTAAACCAAGGGAAAATAAATTGTTGATTTTGTATGTAAAATATGTAGACTTTTGCTTACCAGAAGTTGCGAATGGATTATCGTGGCCATTAACGCCTGTTGGATCCACTACTATCCCTGAACAGGTTTGTGTTCAGCAAAATTTTGTCCCGGTTACCAGAACATGTACAGGAGATCACTATTCTGGTGCCTATTGGCTACCAGTTGTAGGAACGTGTTCCAACCAAACCTTACCAGAAACGTCGCTTGTATTGTTGAATGTTTCCAAGTCAACACTGAACGACACAAGTTCTGTGTTACACGATGTGCGTAGAATAGTGCAACAAACAAAAGAAATTAATATTTTAGACACCTATACGATTGGAAATATTTTATATCAAGCTTCTTCGACTGCCCAAAGTATATTCAAAAATGACATCACAGAAGCAATTGAAATAATTAACATACTCCATGATTGTAATGATAGTTTACTGAAACAATCCCAAGCAATCCTCAATTCGACGGACAGAATTCTGGACGCAACCGAAATATTTTTGGAGAGCTTCAACATCAGCAGCGCCAAAGACGGTTTACTGCTTTATAAACAAAAGAATCTTTTGATGTTATTGACGAACCCGTTTGTTAACAACATAACTGGATTGGTAGCTTATGGCAGTGACTTTAACTCATTCCTTGATATGGATGTAGATTTCCTCTATCTCAATTCTACAAACGTCGAGTTGATGGATTATGAAGATTTGGAAATTGCATCGTTCATTTCTAATGAAACGCTTTCTCAGTTGATTGCACAAAATAATTTAACGGAAGGTGATTTTAAAATAGCTATAATGATCTACTATAACGAGTCTTTTTTTCAAACTGGAAAAAAAGAGGTTGATAGTAAAATCATCAGCATATCCATTCCTGGTTACAGCAATCTATTGCCTTTTTCGGTACCAGTATTTTTTAAGAGAGAAGAAAATGATGATTATGACAGTAATAAAACGAGACGGTGTGCATTTTGGAACTATGGCATTGACGCTCCAAATTCTAAAGGACAGTGGAGCAGCGTGGGGGTTGAAAAATCGAATTTGTTTGAAAACTCAATTGACTCCTGCATCTATTCTCATCTCACTCATTTTGCCCTTCTAGTGTCGAATGTTCCTCTACTAGTTAACGAAGATGATAATGTTACGTATGTCATCCTTGAACCAGAAAAGAACAAGGAACTGGAGATAATAACGCTATTGGGATGTGTACTGTCCTTTTGTGGTATACTGGGGATATATTTGACAGCTGTGTTATTTTCGTCATGGAGACGCAAAACAGGAAATAAAATACTTCTGCAACTTTCTAACGCAACTCTTTTGATACTCGCAGGTCTGTACCTGTTAGATACCGCTAATTTGCAGAACACTGTGTGGTGTACAATATTGGGGATTCTACTGCATTATGCTATTCTGGCTAAATTTTCTTGGATGCTGGTAAGTGCCCTTATGCAATTGTACAGATTTGTCAAAGTAATCGGTCCGATGCCGTCCCATATTTTCCTAAAATCCCTTATTGTCGGTTGGGTTTTACCACTGATTCCAGTCGTCGTAGCGACAACGGTAAAATTTGAAGCATACGGTACGGAGATGTGCTACCCCAGAAATGAAACTTTGTATTTTGGTGTTCTTTTGCCAATTTTGTTAATTTTACTCGTCAATGTTTATGTTTTTGTGGCAGTTATGAATAATATAAGAAAAAGTCATGCTAAATTTTCCCACGTATCGAAAGACATGCTCCGTCGTGAACTGTATCTCGCCATCTTGTTGTCATTTCTGCTGGGAATCCCTTGGTTGTTTGGCCTTATGATTGAAGTGAGCTACTTTAGTAATTTTTTACAAACCCTATTTGAATATCTCTTCTGCATTTTTGCATCTATTGAAGGATTCGTACTGTTCTTCTTTTACATTTTACTAGACAGTGCAACTAGAAAAATGTGGTGCAGATATTTCAACAATAATTTCTATAAAGCGCCTAGCACCAACAAAAATCGCAAAAGTCCTACTAATAGTATCCTAAACACAAAGGATACTAGTAAAGTCGTAATCAATAGTATTCACTGATTACTGATTACCTATTTCCTCAAGTAATTTATGTATTATATGTTTATAACCAAGGGTTATCGTAAAAAGTGGGATTAATTTAATATAATGCTAATACATGTAGATTAAGTCTGATAACTTTTTTTTAATTAAATTGTCAAATATTCAAGAAAAAAAGTAGTTTTTACTTTGTTGTACCTACTAATATAATAATAATAATATTACGATTGGGCCCAACATTATATCAGTATTAGATGCATCATAGCTAAAATAAATAATAGACAATAAGCAATAAATATTTTGCGGGTATATTGCATCCTACCTAATATTTTATTTACTTAATTTCTGTAAAATGTGACATTTTTGCTGAAGTTATAGCGATAATATAATGTGTTAGTAACCTATTCTTGAGTAGATTATAGAACTAATAAAAAAAATGTGTCGCAGATACGTAATACACAATTATTTTGTAAATTTTTATGTACTTATATCATAAATATTTCAATNTTGGTCAACTAAAAGAAATGTATAATAGTGGTATAGTGAATAAAGGAACAGCTTTACTGAGAATGCTAAACTTCACGTTATCAGGATCCGTTTTCAAAAAGGGAACCCAGGATTTCATAAAGAAATGGTAAATTCTGGATTATTTTATTTTCTAATTCTATATTATTCTTGGAGCTGTGATCCAGAAGGATTATTATGCTGAGTCTTTTTGTGTTTAATTGTTGACGCCTTCTTGAATTTTAATGATGTGTCTTATCACTGGTTGTTATTATCATTAATCATACACATCATGATTTTATAAGACAATGAAAATTTAGGTCCTTTGAATCAACAAGGTACTTCTTATTCCCTTTTCAGCGGTTTCCCATGCCACTTGACAGACAAATATAAATCACTTATAAAAACGGATGCAGTGTTGAATATGCAATGATATCACTTTGAATAAAATAAATTCATACGCACTTAAGCCTAACTGAGGGGAGTTATTATTTAGTTAAGTCGCAATTGTAAAATTGCCTTTAAATGGCTTCCTGCCGGGAGGTTTATCAAAACAGATTTGTGCAATATTGCTTAAGAATATCGTCTGTTATTATCTATAGAACGGTTACTATTTGCATACAGGGTGGAAAATTTTCTATTTTTTAATAGTAGCTCCAACCAGAGAACAATATGCAGGACTTGGAAGAAATGAACCGTGCATTAAGCCTTTTACAGAATGAGAACAATTTAAAACTGTGGCGATTCATGTAGTCTTATCAATTATTGTATATAGCCATTGTATTATTATTGTGTAAATATTCTTTTCTATTTCTATACTTACTCTATTCTATACCTGCTCTATACCTATTTTTCAGCTAAACGACTATTTAATTAAAAAATTAAAAGGAATACTCACCCCTAATTACCACAAATAATTTTATATGAGCGGGCACGTGTTTCGCGTTGATAATGCCCACGTGTGAAGTGGGCGAAACACGTGTCCGCTCATATAAAATTATTTGTGGTAATTAGGGGTGAGTATTCCTTCTTACAATCTCTTTTCAAAGACTAAAATCTACTTAATTTCAACTTCACCATTCTACCTTCTTAACTCTAGTCTTCATTTTTCGTTCTTGTTTTATTAAAGTTTGTTATCGTTATTCCGCATTCTATTATTTAACCACCTCAACTCAGAACACACAAAGAGACCAAAAAACTAAATTTAATATTCAAATTAAGTTAATCTATAAGCAAAACGCGTTAACTTTTTTGGTGTTAATTAAATGACAACCTAACTTTTTTGATTGGATCAACTCTTCTTCCAATTACTGCGCTCCATCTTCTCTTAAATGTTTTAACAATGTAAAAATTTATTTATTGTCTGCAACTGTTTTTATTGTATCGAACCATCTAAGTCAATAACAATATAAAAAAGTCTGCTGTATGATACCTACCATTCTTGAAACGAGAATGTATAGAAAATAACCATAATGGAAAATTTAATTAGATTATGACGCAAAGAATCATGTGTTGTTGTAAAGAAAATTTACCTTACAAACAAACTTGTTATTCATAGAAATAATATAACTAGAATATGCCTACCCATTCAATATGTACTTAATGCAAATAAATACGTATATAACTATGTATTTGTTAATAGGTTAGTACACAGAATTTCTTTTTTATATGCTTGGTTTAAGATAAGGCATCTATGAAAACAATTAAAAAAGTTTTGAAAAGGGTGGAAGTTGATTGCTTTTGTATGTTTGTCCATCACTCAACATCACTTCCCTGTTATAGATAGATAGAAAGGCGGCAAAGGATGCGCGGAATGCGACGATTTAAGGTTTTAAAGATTAGAGTTCTATAAAATTTCACCTTTATTAAATGCTACCAAGAGAAAACAGCAAAAAAAATAATTAAAAAAATCGCCTGTTTTCACTAAACCATTGCAGGGACCTCGGAGGGTTTAAATGTTCATAGTAGGGTGTAATGTTGGTTGCATATATTTAAATTAAAATATAGAGGGTTGTTTAACAGTTTATTACCTGTAGCTTTAACAGTAATTATTGTAAGTTAGACGATCTTGGTAGACCTATACGTTAATTAATTCTTCAATCATAATTTTTCAAAGCTTATACTTAAAGCTACTTATCTCAAAAAATAAATATGTATAAAGATGACAATTTTTTAGGTAAAGCACAATTTTCCAGAAAATAGCTTCCACTATATTCCATAGCTAAAGGCGGCATATTTGAAATGGCATTAGTTGATTTATGATGAGCAACGCTTATATTGAATGGAACCTTATAAGCGGGCTCATCGAAACATGGAAACGCCATCCTGGCACGGTTTGGTCTAAAATTGGTTCCGATTATCCAGTTATCCAGTCCATCATTGTCGACGTAACTTATTCGAAACATGCCCTCGCTTCTATTGTCCACGAGTATTCCGGTAAAGAAAATTTCAATAAACCCCCTACTTTTATTTTTCACTGGTTTCTCCAGAGTTATGGTGTAAAAGGATTTGGTTTTTTCCGTGCTGATCACCTTTATCACCTGCGTGATAGCTGGCGTTTCATTGCTGTTATCATCTTCAAAATATTCAACCCTGAAGGAAGTAGAGGGTACTGTGTTAATGTATTAGCGAACAAAAGGTGAAGTAGGGTAAGTATTTCATTAGGAGACTATATCAAACTTTATGAAGGATCACAAACGGCGTTGCGAACGCCATCTGTGGCTCAATTCACATACAGTGGGATTCAATATGTTCAACAAGGTCCATTTACGTTTATGGATATCTAATTCATGGTGGTCAGTGTTGGTTCATATTGTGTTGCCCCTCGCCTTCAGGTAGAGTTGGAATATGTCTTGTTGAAACTGCCTGCGACGCGTTGATGGAACCCAACAAGATCGAAATCTCGATCCGCGTCTGGTAGTTTCGACAGAACATTGACCACCATGAACATCTTTGTTTCTTTGATCAAATTTTATAATGGCTTAAAACAGTTTATAGCAGAACCAAAAATGGGTTTAAGATTGAAGATGTTTCAACACAAAATTGAATCAAAATCTGATTCAAGAATTTCTCCCTCAAGCTAAAATTTTAATATTGCAGTACAACTACAAGCCATGATTTATGCTTGAAAATAATGTTAGGATGAGGTCCTTTTCACCAAACAGACCTTGTTGGTCTCCAATTTAATTACGATTGAAGAAGGGTCAACCTTCATCTGCTGATGGTACCGCTTACCCAACATTCATCCATTTGATGGGCATCCTCATCACAACCATAATGAGTTTCTGAGGATGCCAAACATTGGATAAACGATTCCATCCTTTGACTCACCGAAGAATATCGAACCTTTTTCAAATATTACCGGCCAAAAAAGCCTTTGCCTTTTCATACTTACGATTCGTTTCCATCCCCGTTAATAAGTTTGACTGTGGTNAAAGTATTTTAATATAATTAATGCTTTTGTAGCTCATTCACTGTAAAACGTTTTTTATAGTAAATTGTGCTACCAACATTTTTGAAACACCATGTATAGATTGGATTCAATAAAGTTTTTGCAAATAGAACGAACAAAAAGTTATCGATTTTTTTAAATGGAAAAGATCTTGTTTGATCTTCAGGTGGGTACATGATGTAGTACTATTTTAGCAGTGACTTTAATCATAAGAACACCAAGACTCAATAATTCAAATATTTATACATTTACTAATTTTGAATGGTTAAGCTGCTGAAGAAGTTTTTTACACTTTCTTTTTTAACGTAAGTACATAATAGTTTATAATGCTTAAAGGGTTATAAAAAGTAGTAGTAATAATATCGTTTTCCGAAAAGTTTACTTTATTCAAACGAAAGTTCATTATATAGCTATTTGTGAAAAAATGGACACATAATCATTTTCTTATATAAGAAAAACTGCTTAGAAAACCAAATATTAGGAAATAATTTCAGGGTTAACACAATATTAACGACTTTATTGAAGTACAGTACTGTGATAATTATTATGTTTACCTCACTTAGGATCATGTGATTGCAACAATTGTTTGAATAATGTTTTACACCTTTTCCAAATCATAAAAATACAACGGTTTTCAGGTCCGATTTCAGTAAAAGTTTACTATTGCTCGGTCTCTTAGTTGTGTTCTTATCAAAAGTTTTCTCAATTTTTCAACATGGAGTAGGTAGAAAAGTGAGTACAGGCATGTAAGCAAGTTTTCATAAAACAATAAAAATGCCAATAACATTTTTCAATGCTTGTTATACTAGCACATACATGCATGTATAATTACACTTGTAAAAAAGTAATTTATCGTTATCCAGCCTCAATTAATACGTTTAGGTGGCCATGCCGATATAACTGCTCGTAGCGAACGGTATTTTATGTAATTTGTTATATCTGATATGAAAACAATGCGCTATTAAATTTTTGATTTACAAACATGTTAGTCAGCATTGCATCTTAAGTAGGAGTACCTTCAAACAAGAGAGAAGCTACAATTTTTTTTATGTTTGCACTTGTAGGTTTAGTCTGTGAATCAAACCATAATATCTACCCATAAAAACAAAAATAACAAGTGAGTGTCATGGGGAAAAGAAGCATTGCAGTGACGACCAGCAGGAGTGAGTTTTTGCCAGCAGAGGGTGAAAATAATGAGTACGAACGACAAGGTGGATGCTTTGTTACCACCAAGAGGGCATTACTATTGGTCTTTTTGGCAATTGCTTGTTTCATCGTTCTCGCACTCTTAATGTATTATTACGGACCTAACAGTAAAGAAAATGAGGTGAGACCGTCATCTATTTCGAATATTTATACGTAATTTCCAAAAAAAATTGTAGGCGGTGTCGTCAGAAAAACCTGACATTGAGAATCTTATCAACAAGTCGATTGAAAGCGTGACATCCGACTCTCTACGCCTACCATCTCATGTATATCCGACGTTTTATAAATTACGAATTCAGCCGTATTTAAAAGAGGAAGAACCGGAAAAGAATTTTACGTTCGTAGGAAAAGTTATCATCGGGATTCGATGCACTAAAAGAACCAAAACAATCGTTATGAATGCCGGAAACATTCAAATTGGACATTCCGATGTCAGAGTCTATACCAAAAAAATACTAATAAAATCCCTTTCCCAAGTAAAAGAAGCTCCAAGTAACATGACTACTCAAGAACAACAACAAGAAAATATTTCCGATAGTAGTACTGCTCCAACTTCAGCTATTCCTTCAACAACCCAAAAACCTACAGAAGGTGTTTCCACCACTAGCGTTATAACGAAAGAATCGGTTAATTTTACGGCAAGTTCAACCACCGAAGACATTCCAACATCTACATCAAAAGAGGCAACAACAGCCTCTCCACTTTCTGATAATGGTCTTCCAACCACCTTGCCTTCAAGTGCAACAACACCAAAATCGTCCACTGTTGCTTCATCGACCACTGAAAAATCAAAGCAAGTGAATGCCAGTTCTTCATCACCCGTGCTGTCCAAAGGTAATATCGTTGAAGTTCCAGTAGAATTTATAGATAACATCCCTGTTTCCACAAAACTTGTAATCACTGTTGGACAACTGTTGGAAGTTGAGGTAAATTATACCATTGAAATAAAATTTTCGGGAAACATTTCCGACCATTTAGTTGGTTTATATAAAGCGCCTTATATTGATTCGTCAGGAAAGGAAAGGTAATTTGATAGAAATAAAAAGGCCCAAGTGTGACTAGAATGTCCTTTTCCCTTATAGATGGATTATCAATACCAATTTTATGCCTGTATATGCCAGAAACGTTTTCCCGTGTTTTGATGAACCTTCACTGAAAACTACTTTTGAAATAAGTATAGCCCGGAAAGAGAATATGACTGCACTTTCTAACATGCCTTTAAAAGAAACTGAGAATAAGTGAGAGCTTCTAGGAAAATGTTTCGATTTGTTACTTTATTCTTAAATTTATAGATCGGAAGACGGCTGGGTCTGGGATCATTTTGTAAAAACTCCAAAAATGACAACATACTCCTTAGCTTTCTCGGTAGGTGATTTGGATAATAGAGAAGTTTCTCGAGAAACCCCACAATTTCGAATATGGGCTGTGGATAAACTACACGAATCAAACTATTCAGCTGAAATGTCGGTGAAAGCATTGAACTATCTGGAAGACTATTTTGGAATGAAATACCCTTTACCAAAATTAGATTTTGTTGTGGTACCCGATTTGGTTGAAGATGCTGTTGAAAGTTGGGGTTTGGTGGCGTTTAGGTATTCCTTTATCATAGCAAACTATTTAATCTATGAGAATACTTAATATTTTATTTTCACTTTAATACTCTATAGAGATCAAGCACTTCTGGTGGATCCAAAATCAGAAAATTGGGAAATTAAGTCGAACATTTTACGAAATTTGGCCGAACCGCTGTCGCATCAATGGTTTGGTAAATTGGTCACGATGAGCAATTGGTCAGACTTCTGGTTAAGGGAAGGCATAGGAAAATTTTTGGCTTTTGGTGTTGTACAGTCTGTAAGTACATATAAATACTGTTATGGACCGAGTTATAAATTTGTTATAGATATGGAGTATCCATTTTTATACGTGTTAAATTTTAGATAGATTCTGAGATTGGTTTTTTGGACACATATGTAATTGATAACATACCTATTTTATATGCTGATAGTTTGAAAACAACTAAGAAATTGTACTATGGTATTGAAAATATTGGTCAACTAAAAGAAATGTATAATAGTGGTATAGTGAATAAAGGAACAGCTTTACTGAGAATGCTAAACTTCACGTTATCAGGATCCGTTTTCAAAAAGGGAACCCAGGATTTCATAAAGAAATGGTAAATTCTGGATTATTTTATTTTCTAATTCTATATTATTCTTGGAGCTGTGATCCAGAAGGATTATTATGCTGAGTCTTTTTGTGTTTAATTGTTGACGCCTTCTTGAGTTTTAAAGATGTGTGAACAGTGAACATTTAATCTACTTATCACTGGTTGTTATTATGATTAATCATATACATCATGATTTTATAAGACAATGAAAATTTAGGTCCTTTGAATCAACAAGTGAAGAAGAATACTGGAATGCTTTAGATAAGATCGTGTCTGATCAGAAGATATTACCGGAAAACATCACTGTTAAAGCCTTCATGAATAGTTGGACTAGACAAGCTGGTTATCCAATAGTAACAATCAACTCCATCAATACGTCTGGTCAGATTTTATTACATCAGCAGAGATTTGTGGAAGGAAACACTGACAGCGATAATGTTTGGATAATTCCACTCTCTTATATAACAAAATCTAATTCAACACTTGGCAGAGTTTGGTTAAATGGTGAAAAAGATAAGAAAGTTGATATTGAACTTTCTAATTCTAATGATTCGTGGATACTTTTTAATGCTGATGCTGGTGAACATATAAACAGTCTTGTGCCTTTGCTTCTTGAATAAAATATGCAATTTTTAGGGTTCTATAGAGTGAATTATGATAATGAAAATTGGAACAAACTTTTGAATCAAATTAACTCAGATCCATCGGAGATACCTTCATCTTGTCGCGCACAATTGCTATCCGACGCATTCGAATTGGCTTACAAAGGCATCATAAGTTACGAAATACCTTTAGACTTTACGAAATATTTGGAGAAGAATGAAAGACAATTTGCTCCATGGGAAGCTGCCATGAGGAGTTTTCATAATATAGAATATATCATAAGAAGATCTATGCATTTTGGAAAATTGCAGGTACCTTTATAGGAAACTAGCGACCCGCCCCAGCTTCGCACGGGTGCAATGCTGTTACTAAATATGTATATTTTTCTTTTGTTTAGATTATTATCGAGAAGGGGAAATATTCAAAAGACACCCCCTGAACATACTAAATATACTACAGAATGTTTTTATATACAACATTCACAGTTTTTTGTCATTAGACAATACAAAGCGGCTTCCCGGCCGGTACCGCCGCAACCGCTATGTTCCCGCATTTTAAATCTGTAATATCTCGAAAATATTCATTTAAATTACATGCTGCAAAGGGCCATATTGATCTATATTAAATGCACAATGTATTTAAGGTACTTAATTGGATAAGAATTAATGCTGTATTGCTTATAATCGCTTCGTAAATAAGTCATTATTTCTCATAAAAAGTAAAGGATAGAAATGGTTATTGTGGGTTATCCCTAAGAGATAGACATATACCATCCCGGACTTTTTTGTAGACCCTTTTAAGATGTACAATATTGTAGTACATTATTTTGATCTATCTCGTAGGGTT